AGGCAAATGCTCTTGAAATTTTTATGGGTTCGGCCAGTTCTGATTTCACCGATGAAAAATTACGGTTCTACTCTCAAGTGGTTGTATTGGTTTGAGCAATGGAAATATTTTATTCGATTGTTTCCGGTTCAATATTACAGTTGTTGGGAAATTTATGTACATTTATTATTATTAATTTTCATGGAATAATTAGGGGAAAATAGATAAATAGAGGATTGGGCAGAATAAATTGTCGAAATGTGGGTAAATAGGAAAAATCCGTGAAGGAAATAGTGAAAAATGGGGAGGAATTGGGGGCGGGAAGATGGAGGTTGGCATGTACACCGTCTCCTGGAGTACTCCCTCAAACCCCATCAGTCGTCGCACGCCCTCGGGCATCGGCAAATGCCGCATGGAATCCACTTTGTCTCCAAGACTTTAAGCCGATCCATTATTCAAAATGGCGGAGGTTAGTTTCAACAGTGGGGTAAGGGTGCAAAAAGTGGAGATAGAGGTGTGGGGTTTTATTTCATGTTAGGAGAGGGCCAGCTGGCAAACGAGATTGCCAGCCCCCGGTTTTCAAAAGGGGAGACTCAAATATTAGCCCAAGAACAGCTCACCTTCTCACCTCTCTCGTCTACCACTTCTCCGTTCCTTTTTCAAACATTCTCAACCTCCACGAATTTATTCTCTTTTTCGTTTCTTTCGGTGACAAGTTGGGATCAGCCTCACTCGGTATAACGGTGTCGTATTAACACATTTCAAAAATTAATTTCCTATTTTTACTGCTAATAATCAATGCTCCAGGCGAAATTGCAATCTTTTTTGCTTAACGAAATGATTTGCAGGTGTCCAATGACTGTTAATATAATTAATGTAACAAAATAGAAGATATGTGAAAAATACCGAATAGTATTTTTGAAAATAATTCCCACTGATGAATTTTTCTATTTGAAATCTCCAAATCCCGCACACCGAACTGATAATTCAATAAAATTTCATGGAAAGCTTGACTCCATTCCCATCAAATAACATCCCAACAATGTAGCAAGCCCGCATCTGCCCCAATTAATTTTAATACCCATTAAAAACCCATGCGTAAGTACCAGGGGGGTTTTCCCACATGACGCCTCGGATTCGAATAGCCAGAGCGTCACTCGGGGCAGAGAAAGCCGAAGGGAGGAAATTATATCACAAACCGAGAAAAAAATTTCCCAACAAACGAAAAAAAAAAAAAAGAAAAAGAAATCCACTGCAAAACTCACGTACATGACACACTTGACTTGATGTACGAGTGAAGGTGATTATTATCGACATTTCGTCATTGAAATTACATACTCCACAGTGACGAAGAGACGTATCTCTCCCTTGCATAGATCCACGTCATCCATTACGGGGAGAAAAAATTTTTAAAAGTCATTCCCCGGTTTAAATTTGCCTGACCCAAATAAGAAATTCCGCCAGCGGGTGCATTTATACGAAATTTTTTTCCCTCTCACCGAGCAAATATATATTTTATTCTCACACTATAAAATCCATCTCAAGTACGACCTTATCAATCCAACATCACGGATATCTCGTACCTCCGGCGATAACAAGTGATTCAACGATTTCACGCATTTGAATTTCTCCATGACGTGTGACAATTGCCCGGAATTTTTCCACACGTATAATCGTAAATTAAATTGCGAGATATGGGTGAAAAAAATATATTAAAAAAGTCGCTTGTACGGGAAAAATATATAAATTAAAAGATCATCTCTATGTTATCAATTCCTCTTTTTGCAATTCGTTAATATTTTCCGTGGTCAATTAGCGATTGCAAATTTTTCCATGAAATTTTTGTGGTGATTTGGTTATTGAATTTATAGAGAGTGAAAAAATTTGGAATATGATGTTCTATCAGTGGTAAATCGTTGAGTCGGGGGCGTTAATTTATTGTTTTCTCGTCATTGAATTGCGCGTGAGAAAACTATTAAGAGGGGACGATTGGTTTAACTGTAACTTTCTCGTTGAAGCTCGTTGTGGGGAGGCATTTGTTGTGTAAAGAGCGACCTCACTCGTTACCGAAAACAATTCCGCCTTATTAAGGGGCGTAACACGTTAATTATCGGAGGCAAGAGGCGCTGTGACGAGAGCGCTGACTTTATCTTCAATATCGTCGTGCTACGGTGACTTGAATATTATTATTAACTGGATCTTTGTCGAGATGTTCAATATTCAAGAGCATTATCATGTTGTGGATATGAGCTTGTTCGGAATTTATGCGTCGAGATGAAATTGAAAGTGCGCACGTGTTCTAGATATTTTATACTCCCATTTAGCGATCCATCACGTTTTATTATTTTTTTTTATACATCCCCCCAGTTCTGCTTCACCAATTTACGGAGGAAAATATTTATTTGTTTTTCATGTATTTTGGAAAACTGGACTTGATGCAGGTGGTTAAAATGAAAACCTATTCTCATTTTTAAAGATTCCAACATTTTTTGCGATTTAAAGTTTTTTAATGATGTAATAAGTCGAGAAGCCTAGAATTTAGGAATTGTAAATTACGGAATTATTCCACGAAAATTGGTGGAAGTTGAAAAAATTTGTTATTTAATTCCCGATTTTGTGGAATTGCTCAAGCGAATTTTCATGTGTTTTTTATGGACTGTTGCAAGTGCTGGAATAAATGTCGTGAATTTTTTCTTTCCTCACGCTGTGAAATATTTTCGACATCCATATCACGATGTTCAACAATCCGATTAGGCGCCTGTTAGAACTAGGATTAACACGAATCGTCGCCGTTGACGTCGTTAGCGCCGAGAGAGGGGCACCCCGACGGCATCGGGAATGCAGAAGGTGAGAAAATCATTAAGGATGAGTAAAAAATGTCAAGGGCACGTCGTCTCGACTAACGAAGTGGGCTTGGAGAAAAACTGATAATAACCGGATCAGACTCGTTAAACTTTGGGAAATAGTTGGATGGAATCTTCATCGCACTCTTTACTCATTTACGGATGATGCTTTCGTTTTTTATCAACACACAAAGGCCCGAAAAGACCAACTGATATCACTAATTTCATAATTACGCCTGGAAAAATATTCAAAAATATTGTGTAACAATCTAGAGTGTTTTACTCCTGAATTTCATGAGTAAATAATGTCTCTCAAAACAAAAAATATTTCCGTCAAAGCCCGAAATGGAAAAAAATAATATAAACACACCGTAAATAATCCCTGAATATTCAATTCCCTTCCCGACGTCCCCAATTCCCCGAACCTCATTTTCCATCAATTTAATATCCACTTAACGTCGCTTTATCGTCAAGGAAGTTGTGCAAAAGTGCATTCCACCCGGCGAAAAAAAAATCGCCTGTCCCCGATACAAATGCCTCTGACAATCTATGCGTGAAATGTAAAAAAAAAACTGATAAAAAACCATTTTTCATTTGGTAAATTTACTCTCTAGCCTTGCCCCAGAAATGTGCGTTGTTGAGGCACGTCATATTGATGCGGTGCGCTTTATATTGTTATACTATTTGATTGAGCGCTCCTGTGTTTCAAACGTCAAATGCCATAAAGAGCATTGATTAACGTTGACCCGAGTCCCAACGGCGACGACATAAACGAAACAAAACGAAAAACCGTGCGGAATGAATAAACAAATACAATGCGCAAGAAAATATACACATGACGAATGAAAAAATAGACGAGTCAAACGGGAGAAACCGAGAGTTGGACGGTGGGTTAACCCGGTTGGAAAAAAAAAATCGTCAAATTTATTTTTCTGGAAAAACGGAAAAATTTACGAGCTCACCCATCGTTACTGATTGTATACAGCCAATGGCCTGCACTCATATCCTGGCACTCTATACGACGGAACTATACCCGGAGCACAACGTGTTCGCTCTTTCATTGCAAAATGTCCCGACGATAGCGATTCCACGAGTGACGTGTGTTGTTACAAAAAATAGAGGAATGCTTGAATAAAAAACTATAAAAACAAAAAAAGTACGGATCGTGGCATGCGTGTGCGTCTGGTGATATTTTCTATTTTCGGTGAGATTTTTTTTTTCGTTGTTTTGAGGGAAATAGTGGAGTAAAAAATTGTCGGTTGAAATGTCATGTTCTTCACGATTGAATACGTATTATTTCAACTAAAAAATCTCGAAATCTCACGGGGAATCACCCCTTTGCTGGCGGAAGAAATTGTACTTTTTTAATTTTTTTTTATAATCGAAATTTTCGATGTATTCTAGTATATTTGAATTTCGAGGAGAAATTCTAATTCAATATTTTTCTGTGAAAGCTAGGGAATGGGGGTGAATATATTTTGTCAACAGTCTAGATCTTTGTCTAGGTAAATATTTACCGTCCGAACAATTAAATTCCTGAGAATAGGCCCGAGGTGATAATGGCGCGCACCATTGAGCCACTTTTATCACTTAAACGGCGTTAAATAACAGAAAATACGCAGTTAGAGTCCGTCATTATGACGCGTGTTACGCGATAGAGGATATCCTAGTGAAAATTTGGTGAGTCAACAATAAACGCCCACTTATTGTCGATGTAATCGGCATCGACTTCTACACCTCCACGATTTTGTTGTAAATCGTGTCTTGAAGAAAATAGGACGACACCTGAACGTGCTAATTTTCCCGTGGATTCGAAATTCTTTAAATTTAACATTAACACGGACTTAAAGGGGATATTCACGAGCACGTGTGTCACAATGTTTAAAATTAGACCAACAATGTGAAGATCGAAGATCAATATTGAAAAATTACATTAGCCCAGAACCGTATTCTGTCGTTACATTCGAAAAGAGCTAGGTAGTTTCAACGGTGTACGAGAGCTGTATGTTGCAACAAAAAAAAATTACAACCTCCCGAAATTTATCCGCTAAAACTCAACATTCCATTCAAAATTCAAGACTTTTTTACCCATTTTTCAAGGACATGAACATTAATTTATAGGGTAATATACGTCACAGAGGCAGATGAAGTGGAATTTTGAAAAATAGTCGTACTTACCTCGGAGTTGCTGGTGGCAACGCTGGATAGCCCTGGAGACATAGCCCCACTGGTTGGATCAGGGCTTGCTGAAACTCCTGATAGCCTAGGCAGCATCGATGACGCATATTGATATGAAGCCAGATGAGGGGTTTGTGGTTTTGGTTGTTCAACAGTACCTGGTGGGGCACTGTGCACTGCCATGGGCATCTGGACTGGTCCAGTATCAATGGGTGTTCCTCCCCCTTCACTACCATAACTAGATCCAACGAGCCCCTCAGTGATATCTCCATCGCTCGATCGAAACGACTCGTGCAAATACTGTCGTACCTGATTCTTCTGCTTCTGTACAACATGATAGCGCGTCGGATTCTCCAGGAGAGTTCTCACCTGTAACAACAACCAAATCATATCTTTAATTAAATTTAATTTTATTAACTGAGTACAATTAAGAGCTAGCAGATGGTCATCGTTTACGAAATTTTCCATTTAACGGACATTTTTTCATAATTTCTTCAATTAAAACCGGAAATTGACTGATTTATCGGATTCTCCAAATATTAAAAATTCCATCGAGCAGTTCTTGAAATATCACCATTTTATATAATCTCAAATTCAGCGGCAATCATTATTAAAAATTGAGCAAATGTCCACTGAATTATTGCCCATAAAATAGGGTCTAACGTTGAGGGTGAAAATTGAGGGGTGAAGAAATGATGGGACGGTGCCAAACAAATTGATTCGAGACAAGAATGTGAATGGGCATTTTGGGGGGATTTTTGAAATTTGTCTTAAGGATCTTAGGTGGGTGTATGGAGGTTTGTATCAAATCGTGCTTTTTCACGGTTGAACGAGAAAAATAAGGAACATGTTTATCGTCTGATGCCGGAGGCCAACGTCAAATCTACCCAATGAGCCAGAATACGACACGAGAGAGAATGGAGCGAATAAAACAAGCGCCAGCGGTCATGATTTATCCGGAAAAGAGGGGATAACCCCAAGCCCTCGGTAACTTGAGCCAGATGAAACGGAATTGAACGAATTCCGGATAAACCATAAACGAACGACAAAGACGTTGGACCCTGTGTGAGCCATGCCGGCCTTATCTTTTTATGAGACCGATTCAACCCAATAACCCGATTTCGTGGTATATAGGCTTTTCAGGGTTTATTCTGGAAATGTTGGAGATCGCTCAATCAGAGTGGAAGATTGATTGAGACGATTGTCTGCACTTTAAACTTTTGTTGTCATCATTTCATACTCAAAAATTTTCACCCTAAATTTCACGAGATCCGCCAATTACAAGTCAATTATTTTATTATTCATGAAACTAAACTAGTCTCTGGGATTTGACAAAATTTTCCAATTCGTCTATGAAAGCTGTAATTTTTTATTTAATCGCTCATTTATTACTGGTGAAAAGACTAACAAAGCCTAGAAATTGAAAAATAAAAATGGAAAAATTATTATAATTCAGCTTGAACCACTAGAGTTCACCGATCCGCAAAGTAAGAGGAGGATAATCTAAAGAAAGCTATTACGTTCTCGCCTTTCTACGGTCTATAACCTCTTTAAATATCTGGGCATTGAGTAAACTCTATATGTATTTCTCCCGAGCTGGTACTCGCAGGCGACGACGGCTTGTGGGTAATCTAAAGCAAACTATTCGGTATATACTCATCTCTTATCTCATCCACCACCGAGCAGAGGATCTCAGGTACGACACACTGTAAACAGTGGAGCGCACCGACGGGTCATTAATGATAAAAAGATAGACTCCCTAAAATCCGAGAACACACCACGAAATTCTTCAGTTATTTTTCCACCTCGAAATATTGAAAAATTTCGTCACATGGAATTATCTCATTCTTACTTCATCTCCCTATCATTCAGTCCACGACTTACTAATTACTTTCGATTCGTCGACAGCCGATTATAATTATTAACAATAAATTTCTTCCACCATTCCCTACCCAAGAGTTTCTCATTGAACTACATAAAAAATTCGTTTGTTATAATTAATATATTTTGCAAATAGTGTACAGAGTACCATTTACTGTCAATCGTTTGCATGCACATTGAAGATTAATTGTTCAATGCTTGGATAAAAAAAATGTTGGCAATAACTCCGCGAAAAAGTGCATCTGGAGAGAAATATGGTGTCGATATTTCGAGATTGAAATGGCAATAGTGATTTTCTAACAATGCAACATTCCCGGCTGATACCGCATACATACTTGAAGTACTTGGGGTGGAACATCAACGCCGATAGTCGCTAGTTGAGTGGGTGGTACTAGCCTAGGGGCTGCAGCCGCTGGCCGCTGCTGCTGCAGATTCTGCCGGAATTCCGCTTCCTTTCTCTCCTGCTCCTGCAGCTGCTCCCTCATCAACTGGAGTTTCAAGTGTGTCCTCGACGTCGGCGTCGCTGTTTTGAATGTCGGCGGGCTAAAATACGACAAAAACAACCGAATGAAACATTCCATTATGAATCGATCAAGTCTCATAAAATAATCATTGCGATTTCATTATAAAACTATTGAATTATTTATTTATAGAGGACGAGAAATGATATGAGATATGGCGTTCTACATCTTGTGACGTCACAAGAAATCGTTCAATAAGATTTTGGATCGGGTAGGAAGAAAACCAGATTCTCGATATAATTTTACAAAAAAAAAATTACGGAAAAATGCAATGCATGAAGTCTTATATATCCTGAGATTATTAAAAAAAATCTCCTGACAATTTATTTCATTCCATTTTATCGATTGTAATTCTGGTATTTATGATTTTTTTCTCATTTTCTTTGTTCCCACCTGCAGCAGTTATTAATTGAAAAATAATGGACTGGCTTTAAGGGATGTTCAGTGTTTTGGGAACAATGTCCAGAATTCCAGGACTTATTGTACGTAAAAATTAGAGCGGTTTTCTCTGAAGTGAATTGCCCATTGCATCACTTCTCATCAGATAATAACTGCGCGATACTCTGACACAGTTTTTCGAGATATACGCTATCCCGAGAATTGAATGGCCATTGTCACTGGCATGAAAGAAACTAGACCAGTTGATAAATAGACCGTATGACGTTTGTTTGCAAGAGACAAACGATAGACCGAGGAATCGTGCTTGCAATCAGTTGCTCGATGTTGGCAGGTGAAATTTTAATACCACCGAATACCTCAGTCAACACAATTAGTACACATCCGTTTTGCTGTCATCAAACACTCGAATCATTCACAAAATCAGGTAATTTTCAATTAGCATCACCGGTACAGAGGGATATCTACATTCACAACATCTGATGATTCCTGACAATTGCCACGAGATTGCTCTGCCGACATCACGTCAAAGATTAAAAAATTGACAATAAAAAAATTCAAATAAAAATTCACTTAAAATTGGTTCAATTGGATGATGAGTAATTTTGCCCTCTGGAGGTAACAAAATCTTTAAGGCAGGAACGCATCATCTATCATTATAATATTTGATTGTTTAAAGAATCAACAGAATGTTCGTTAGCGCGTAAATTATTGTAAATCTTCTTTATAAAATCCATCTTCCCTCCCTGTGTAGTAAAAAAATCCTTTCGTGGGTCTTACGTAATCCGTCCCGAGGGTGTCAATAAAAAGTCGTATTCAATCGCTAATTCAATATCGAAAGAAGGTATTAATTTAGTAGATATCGAAATAATCAACTGGAATTATATCACGAGTATCGCATTACGCAATAAATCAATTTATTCTCCCGTGACTCCTTTCTCCGAGTGCTACGGGCATCAGTCGACCCTTCTCACAAAAATTTGCAAGTAGCTGTTGCACAATTTCCCAGAAATACACGAGGAAGACGGCAGTGCACATCTGGCGTGAATTTGTGTCTCGTGCGAGTAAAACGTACAATAATAGACACGCGCTTGAGCTTGAGCTTGACCCCGACGTGGCTGACCGCACACGCTTCGACAGAAAAAAATACCGACAAGTGCAATTAGAAAAAAAAATACGGCAAATCCGAAAAAAGACCACTCCCCCCATGATTTCCAAATGCACCACAAAATGGCGATTAACATTGGAATCACAACACCGGAATAATCAAGAACATCTTTTTTTGAAAGTATTAATTGAACACCTTTACTAGAAATTTCGAGAGAAATTTCTAAGACTCTCACCGGAAATGTCATTTTTATTTTCAGGTAAAACATTTCCCGGTGTAGGTGGGTTTTTTTTTCAGTTAAGGTGGACAAACAAGCGGATAACGTGAAATCGTGGATTTTCCAGTTGCTTCTGATGCCTCGAAAAAGCAGAGGAATAGGATAGGTAGCCAGGGGCAACTCCTTCGGCGAATGAAAGTGATCCGACAACAAATTCACGTTATAATTTCGACTTTCACTCGTATAAGACTCACAACGCATGACTCCGATGTAACTTGTTGTTGCTTTCAGTTATTGCTATTTGTTTTGCTGGTTATTTTGAACGGGAGATTATTGGAGACTGGGTGGAGACCCTGGAGATATCTGGTGAATATGAAACTGAGTTTCGACGGGTGAATTTCATGATACACTGGAGTTTTGTCCCTCAATTTTTCCCGTGTGCATATCAAATGCCCCGAAGAGCATTTTACCAACTCTACCTGTTAAAAAGGGGGTGGATCATCGGTTTTTTTGGCATTCTCGTATTTTTCTACATCTGGGAATTTCACTCGCATATTGCGCATGGGACACGCCACGTTGGAAAGACACCTCCCCAATTTGGGAACAAAGCCAACTCGTAGTATCCCGGAAAAACCGAAATAGAGGTATTGCACAATTTTAGTCGCAATGGGCTTTGTCCATTTACCATCGCCCTTTGTGACTGATGAAAAAATATTCCAGGTGTTTGCAGGGCTCAGATATTCCAGGAAATCATTACTATTTTCCTGGGAACAACCGGGAGATAACGATTAACAACATGATTAGCCACTGATAAATCGATTTGTTGCCTAGTCAAGGTTATAAATGATTTCTAATTATTTCTCAAATCACATGATTTCCTCAGGATTTTAACTGGTTTCTCATGATTTTCAAAAATAATTATAAATCATTATAGATCAAGGATGAAGTCGATTTTTACTAATTTCTAATCGAGTGGTTCCGTGATTTTTTTACTTGTCCCACGAAAAATCCGATAGACTATTTTCCAAACGAGATTTCAGACACTAGTTCCACTTCCGTTTCAATTTCTCTCCTATTTTTTTTCTCTTTCACTCAACTATTATTCCCCCATTCTGTCTTTTTTTATCTTTACCAGCGGGATATTCTCCTTTCGTGCAATTAAACGTCGTTAGGAATTAAAAATTCCTTCCGCTTGTAGGAAGTTGAAAAGTCGGAAACTGAGACTCCTGGCATAATAAAAGCGTTAAAACTTTCAGGAAGATCAGAACACTCGGCCTTTGCTACGTCCCCTAACTCCCTATCTGCCTTTCGTCGCTCATCGCGTAATCTTAAATTCTCCACCCGCCCCCTTTCACCCCCTACCGCCCACTTCCTCCCCCTCGGTGTTCCCTATTCCGTCATATTCCCAGAGGGGCTGTAGCACCCGACGACTTTTGCAGATTCAACTTGAGAATGATGAAATATATATTTACTTACATTTGAGAGATCAACTTTTCCCCTTCACGTTAAAAATTTATATCCTCAACTGTTTGACGAACTGATCGAGAACAATCGGTTCTGATATAATCCTAAAAAAAGCTAATTGTTTTTGACAATTTATTTAAAATTTCCGAGGATTTTTATGTCAAATGCAGATTTCCCTCAATTTTCTTAAGGAGTTTTTAATTTTTTATTTCGTATCATCCATTAATGTTTTAGTTTGAAAATTCATTAAAAATGTTAATATTTCAGATTTTTTCTGATTTGTTGTAGCCAATAAAAGCTCGGGAGTAATTGACAATTTTTATAATGCATGTTTTGATGAAATATTTGCAGTTATGTGATTCAGATAGGCAACTCAATTAGCAAAAATTAATGGTATGATTTTCATTTAATATAATTTCTAGGCAACCGCAGGGACTAACCACCAACAATTCATCGATTTACCTCAATCATGCAACAATTTATTAATGAGATAATCCAACAAAGAGTGAAGCCCTTGGGAATAACAGATAAAATTTTCATTATGGGTGCACAAGCATGAACAATAATAATCCTAAGTTGGAGTAATCACACTTTGGCGGTAGAAACAATTGCAATGACTCACGAAAATTACATCCGACAACCAGACGATACCGGTATGGGGTATGAAAGAGGATAATCCCGAAGATGCTCTCAAGATGTTTAATTTCAGTGATTAACCGTCGAAAATGCAATATATTCGCTATTCTCAGCAGTTCCAACGCTAACGAAGGTGAATATAATAAAGCACGTGGCCGGAGGGGGTGGACCCCAGGTCTCACCGCAAAATACAGAATTTAGCGCCGTTTGCACAAAGGAATGCCTCAAGGCTTGTTTCATGCATATGGGGCTTGAAGCAATGTGTATTCGTGTACCGACGAGCCGCCGGGCTTTCAATCGATGCTATATCAAAAGTTATACCCACATCACTTGCTGTCTATATGTTCAGTTCCAATAAACCAACCGCACGGACGACTGATTAATCCCCACCCAGTCCGCCTACCATTTCCCAACAAACTTTTTTAATTTTCTTCCTCTTTTATTTTCAACAAAAAATCCTATTGTTAATCACAACCCTTTCCCCCACTTCCATCAAATCAATCTCCCCACAACCAATTATTCCGATCATTTTTCTATTTAATTGTCCAACGCTGATCATTTCGGTTTACATAAATTTATGTGAATGCTGATTTTTCCACTAGGGTTGCACGGAATTTATTTATTGAACCCTAAAGATGTACCAGTTTAATTGTTGGTTTGAAAAATGGAATGTGGGTCGATTCAATGCATGAAATATATATTTAAACAATATGTTAGGGATTCAGGGAAAAATCTTTCCTCGGAAAATCCAGCGAAATTATTTGAATTGTCGACTGTTAAAAATTTTCAGTCTCATTAAATTCATAGTGTCAGTTGTGGTAAATTTTTATCAGTGGATCGCACAACTTCAGACAGGAACAAAACGACGGAATAAATCATGGCGATATCCCAAAAAAACGCCAATCGAATAACATCCTGATAGATAGAACGAGGCGTTCGGCCGATTGGATGTCAATATTCGCGATCGCAATCTCATCCAACAGAGGCAGAAGGGTGTACCCGAAGATTGCACAATCCGATATTCCTCAATTTATTCTCTCCAACAGAATCGAATTACTCGTATTAATTTAGTTTGGCTTCATCCCGGAGATAAAGGGAAAAATAATGAAAGCTACAGGGTCTGTAGAACATTCTCGCTGAAGTTTCATCCACCGTAGCTCCTAATAACCCCAGCCATCCTGTATGATCATTACGATAACAA